TTTCAAATTTTTAGTATAATATTACTTTTCTCTGTAACGAATTCAAATGGACTATTTTGTCCAACATAAGAAGTTATATTTAAATAAGATTTTTATTAATATTTGTATTATGAAAAATATACATTATATAAAATAATACTATAAAATTTTTGAGGCTGAAAAGAAAATAAAAAAAAAAAGTTAAGAACTACTACTATATGACAAGAATTTTATAATATGGGACTTTTTTTTTATTATTTATTCTTATATTAATAAGAACAATGTGACAATGAAAAAACTCAAAAACGTAAAAAATGGTCCCCCATTTCACATGGTTTATTCAGGGTGTGTTTGTTTGGAGGGATTGGATTAGATTTCTACTATTCATTTCATTTTTTTCCTCAAAAAATATCAAATCAAACACCTATTTTTTATTTTTTATATTATACTAAAAATCAATTTTATATTCAAAACATCACATCAACACCTATTTATATCACATCATACAATTATTTAAATTCAAAATTTTTACTATTCAAATCCCAACTCAAAATCCAAACCCCAAACAAACACACCCTCATGTATTCGTTGCATCATCAATTTGGTCATAAATATTTGATTGAATTTATTGTCTAAAATAATTGGCATCTTATTTCATTTATTTGGTGTGGTCTCAAATAAAACATAAAAATGTTTGTTTGGCTGAATTTTGAAATTAGGTATTGATTTAAATTTTTTATTTAAATAGTATTTTGATGAGATATTTTATGAAAAAAATAATATATTTTTATTAAAAATTTTAAAATGATAAATGATAAAAAAATGAACACATACAAAATATTCCCACACGATAATACAACATAGGCATAATTATGTATTACTTTTTCTTATATAATTTAAAATTTATATGAATTTTTTTTTATATTTTTGTAATATTGCACAAAATATATATTACATTAAAAATATATCTAAATTAAAAAATTTAAACTCAAATAAACTAAACAAACCGTAGAAATTTCATAAATAGTAGTAGTATAACATTGAATTATGTTGTAAATCTTAAATAATACTCACGCCGAAAATAACTTTTTGTAGGAATATTAAAAAATATATTCCATCTATCCATTAAAATTAGATTATTTGGGTCCGGCACAGAGATTAAGAAAAATTAATAATAGTATATATTAATAAAATAGTATTATATTAGTTGTCTTGATAGTATTGACGTTGTAAATGGTTAGCATCTTATTGATGTAATATTTAATTATTCGATCATTCATACGATGAATTTAATGGCCAAAATTTTACAAAATATAATTTAATAATTATATATAGGGTATTTGAAACATAATTTATTCAAGAATTTTTATTTTATTGGTAAACTAATTTATGAGAAAATTGCAAATATATATCATGTATCTATGGTCAATTGTCACTTTTGTCTTTTAATTGTCATCGTGGCAATTATATACTGCATGTGTTATTTTTTGCGATTTCTGTCATCTGGCCGCGTGTCAAGTTCACGGCAGATACAATCTCACGCACGTAGAATGAGATTGAGCTACAAATGATGAAAATCGAAAAAAAAAATGACCGTTTGACAAAATATTCAAAGTTTATTAGTAATCAAAATAAAAAGTACAAAATAAGTTTATTCAAAATGGATTCAGATTATACTCCCTCCTCCATCCCACTTACCATATCCATCTTTCCATTTTTGTATGTCCCACATATTTTGTCACTTTTTTTTTTTTGAAAAATATTATATACTTTAATCTTATTTTAAAATTTTTAATTTATATATATATTTTTTTATTTTAATTAAACTAATTAGTTATTTTAATTTTTTAATCTATAATTATTTTTATTATTAGATAATTACTTTCACTAATACGTTTTAAATTATTTACTAATTATATTTCTTCTAAATTCTCGTGTCTACAGTAAAGAGGACATGATAGTCGGGACGGAACGAGTACAATTTTTCTTTAATAAGTTCTAAAAGTTCTTTCAAATTCTTTAAGTATCCGTGTCTTGTGCAGGAATATCCTCTATGGCAATGAGCTTTTTGTTAACTTTAGCAATTTGGGTAGCAATATTTTGACAGAGTACTTGACGGCGCTCGATAAGGGAAATATTCTCTCTATTTTCTTTTTATTTTTTTTTTTCCTCTTAAAACTTGAAGTTTCATATCAATACTTTCCATAGATTTATCTAATTCTTTGCTACTTTCTCTCCACGCAATTTCCTTCGCCTCAAATTGCAACAATTGATATTTGATCTTTGAAAGTTGTTTATTGCGTGCCGTCGATGGTATGACAACAATCAATTCAAAATGAGTTTCATCAAAAGATGCAGCATCATCGATAAGGATCTGAACTTGGTTTTCAATATAAGAAGTGTCGAAGTACTCAAAATGTTTCATTGACTGAAGCACCACGTCAACCTCATCCTTAATCAAAGAGAGCGAATGAGGCGGTATCCTCAAAAGCTTGCCTCGAACATCCGACCATATCCTCCACAAATATTCGCTTAGGATCATCTTCAAATAATCTACGCAAAGAAATTCTTAGACTGCAGGAACAACAGAGTGAATGACCACGGGCTTGATTAGAACATCCTTTACTTGCTCGTTGCAAACACTTTCGTTTTCTTCAACTACCTTCACAAAGGAGTCTCGACTTGTTGTATTTCATCAACACAAGAGATTTGTTGCTCCAATTAAAGAAAAAAAGAAGGATGGGGACAAACAAAAAAAGGACAGGAAAAAAAAAGAAAAAACAAAAAAGAGCAAGGTTATCTTTCTTCCAAAATCATTTGAGTTATGGCTCCGACTCAAACGAGGACTTGGTGAGTTGATGGTGTTAGGATCTCTACGATTTCTCTTCCAATTGACATCATGTTCATATCTACTTCTTTTGGTGGTAGAAGGTCCCACTGTCTTTAATGAAAAGACATTGAGAATCTTTAAATTTTTTTTTTTCTAATCAGGCACATCCAGGATAAACAAAGACATCTTTTGAGCTTTGTTTGATGGCTAAGTTTGGTCGGTCACCTTTTGAGCGGGAGTAATATGTTCATTCAAAAAAAAAGAAAAAAAGAAGAGAAAATCCTGCAAACTTGAGTCTGCCACTTTTTGTAAACGTCGGAACAAAAACTCATTGGAGCTGTAGGAACGCACAATTTCGGAGGAAGACTTCAAGTAATTAGTATTTTGATGCCAATATTGATAACTTTACTCAAAAGTACAACGACGGACGTCTTTCAAAAAGATCTCATGAACCTCTTAAAAAACACCAAATTTACGATAAAAGTGGTAAGAATTATACAGCTCTGAGAAGCATCGAAATTCATCCAGAAAAGTTGAAAAACAAGAGCAAGTATAAATGAAGTACTATTTATCATTCTACACATTCCCCATCATCAACAAATCGCACGTCAAAATCGTTTGTGATCATGGTGCAAGTCCAACATAAAGTCACCTCACAAAATTTTTCGGCAAGCAATATTCGCTCTATTCGAGCAAGTGCTTATAGCCCCGGAATGTTTCACCATTCTCGAACCACGGATTCCCTTCCAAATGGAAAAGTGCGTTTGAAAATATTCGGCAATCCATCCAGTCTAGAAGTGAAGAAAAAAAGCCATTGAAAGTTTTTAGGATGAGACAAACTTGCAATCGTGTTTAACCCTCTATAAATACTTGTCAAAATTGGAATGAGCGAACTTATAGGAATTCCCGACGCTAGGAAACATCAAGCGGTCGTTCTTCGTCAAAAGTCTTGAATTTAAACAAATAATCGAATATTGGTTGATAAATCGATGAAATTAATATTTTCGGAATAAGTTTAAGCCAGAGGAAACATCAAAGCTAAATAAAAGTTATCAAATTCACCTTAAAATTTTGAAATACACTTTGAATTCTTCGTCAAAACCATCCATCGGGCCCTCTTTGATTTAAAAGTCAAAGGACGTACGGCAAAAACTATTTTGGAGCATGAAATCTACCACTTCAAGAATCAAATTCAAGTTCATCAAAGAAATCATCAAAATCTAAGCTAATGATGAAATCTACCTCCACAATAATAAAATCTCTTCAAATCCTTAAAAAAAAAGAAAAAAAAATATTCAAACTCAAGTTTAAAATCAAATCAACCAAGAAAGAGAATTAATGAACTGTTTAGATAATATGATCCATTTGAATTCAATCTAAATTGTACAAATATTAAACTAAAGACACATACTTATATTTAACACATTCGTGTATTGTGTTAAATAAAAATATATATTATTTAATTGTTTTACATATATTGAGTTACCTGAATCAACATGGTAATCATCTAATCATCTTAAGTTGGTACTATGCAATGTAAATCCATTTATAATCTCCTATTTATGTCTTATAAATAAATAAATATATTTATATATCTAATATATTATATTTTTCTATAAACTAATTTATAATATTAATTATATGAAGATTTTATATATTTCTTCTATTCGAAAAATTGAGTCCTACTTTTTTGTAAAAACACAAAGAAATTGAGCTAAACTTTCTATTTATATTATATAACTTGTGTCTTCTACCGAATTAAATATTATTGAGGTATATAATCTTTTAAAAATTCAAAACATAATTTAAAAATTTATTTTTAATAAAATATATATTGCTTCTTTCGTCTTAGAATAATAATCTTATTTTGTTATTTTCCTTCGTCCTAAAACAATAGTCTCTATTTTCATTTTTGTTAACAACTCTCCATTCTTCTAGGGTGTGTTCGTTTGTAGAATTTATTAATTCAATTTTTTCCCCCCAAAAATATCAAATCAAACACCTATTTTTTATTTTTTATATTATACTAAAAATTAATTTTACATTCAAAACATCACATCAATAACTATTTATATCACATCATACAACTATTCAAATTCAAAATTTTTACTATTCAAATCCCAACTCAAAATCCAAACCCCCAAACAAACACACCCCTACAAAATTATCGCACTTTTTCACAATAATTACATAAAATAAAAATATTTTGATATTTTAAAAATATTTGTACATTAATATCAATATAATACTAATATTTTTTTTAATTCCAGTGTCCATCCAACGTATTATTTTGGGATGGAAAGAGTACATTATAATTCAAACTTAAGCTCAAACAATATTTCATTACTCAAAAGTAAAATCAAACCCCAACGCCTCCAGGTCCACGTGGCACACATAGTTCATCTAGTGTGATTTGCCTTGTTGGACTTAATTTGCAGGTTACCCCGTACACACTTTGGTAGCGGCTGTGGGTTCCAACGTCATCAGAAAAAATAAATAAATAAAATCAAACTTCGGTTATATGAAAAAAGAAAAAAAAAAATCAAATAAATACCTTCCACCAAGCTGGATTCAATTATGACGACGTTCGACTAAGAATGGCTTAAATGTCATCAAAACTCCCGTGGCATCAATCACATTCAGAACAAAGAAAATCATCAGATCGCCTGCATTATAACCCATACAACCATAACACATACTTTGATTGTAAGTGTTTAGTATCTTCTTAGAATTAGAACATACCTGGAAGAAAACTAGCATCTAGTCGAGTTGTCGCCCAAGAAACTCTGCCAAAAAAGATAGATAAATAAATCGACCATAAAAAATTCAATAATCTTTCGACTTATTACATAACATAACATCACATCAATATAGTCATCTAGACTAGGCTAGGCTAGATCTAGATGTAAAGACATATCATTGTATCTTAGTAAGAACGACTCACAAAGCCCCTCCACCGGCAGGACCCAGAGTCTGTAACAGCGACACTAACGCAATCGAAATACCATTGGCAGCTCCTCTCTGCCTCTGATCCTGAAAACTTTGCAAGACTTTAATAAAACACAGGATGTAATGAAAATATGTGTTGTAGTAAAGAGCCGTGTTGTTTCTGCCGTTGCTGAATTACCACAGCATTATTTTGCAAAATGGCCAGTCCTGTAAGAACAGAGACCTGCAAGGAAGTGAGGTCTATTCAAAGTTATAGTTATAGTTGCAAGCAGGCATGGCATGGCATTGCAAGAAAATGTCAACCAACAACAAGGTTTCCATGTGCGTACCGAGAGAATGTTCTTCACCAAGGAGGCGCAGTTGAGCACGATGGAGAGGGCAATCCCATTCAGTTTCGCAATGTAATGATAGCTTGTTAACAGAGGAATCGTAATAATCTGTGGCATTCGACAAGAGGACAGCACAGTGATGAATAATCATATCGTAATTAATGTGTTTTAAAATGTTCCATATCAATACTTCATCTCCACTTACTCCAAAAAATCGACAGAGTGCTATGGGGCCAAAGATCCTCTCGAAGAGTGGATACAATGAGGACTGAAACACTAACAATCCGACGCCTGAAGTTTTGAGGAACCATTCGTGTTACCAAGTGAAAATTTGTGTAACTATTGAAGGTAGGTACGTACCGGAGATTGAAAGAACTGTCCCAACATCCTCCGTTGTATAGCCTAAGCCCCCGAGCCTTCGGGGGTTCTCCGCCCACAACGAAAAGATCTGGTGAATGGAAATGAAGTTTTAGTTCGAAACATTTTTGCTCGGGGAAAGTTACAGTGCTGATTTGGAAAAATCTTTGGCACCCATAAAATACAAAAACAGCACAAGTCTTTATTAAAAACAGCACATGCTGTTTGTAATAATGATATTTGTTTATAATTACACGTGTGCTGGACAAGTGTATATCATGTGTTGTGCTGTATGAGACTATATCACGTGTTGTTAATTCGTGTACTGCATTTGTATTATATGAATATAAATTATGTGTTATTACTAACATTACCGTGCGCTGTTTGCTAGTTATCTTTGTGCTGTTAGTTCATATGTTGTGCTTATATTATATTAATATAAATGATGTGATGTTACTAATATTAGCATGTGCTATTTGTTAGCTATGTTTGTACTGTTCAGCACAGTGCTGAACCTCAGATTCAACACTGTAGCCGCGGCCTTTTTGCTCATTCACATTCACGGTGCAGAGAATTACGTACCTCGGTGTAAGCCAGATCATGAAGGGAAAAGACACAATAAACAGCGATGGACGATACAAGGGGCCAGTTCTTCAAAAGGCTTTCTTTTGGAGAACCTTTCCCCCGCCGGTCTATGACCTCCTCGGATCCTTGCATTGTGGCTTCGGACAGCTGCTTTGTCATCGGGTGCGTGTGCAATGTTTCCTACAGTCATCGAAATTCAAGCATTTTTGAACATTTACAAATGATTTCTAACCAATCATTACAAGGAAATTCAGCTTTAGAAATAATGTCTATTCTGAGGTGTACCGGAATCCAGAAACAAACAAGAGTGACGATAGCTGCGAAAACCGAAGGAAACAAGCACGGCAGGAAGTACGGAAATCTACAAAAGAACTCGACTAGATAAAAAAAACTACAGTAGCAGAGTGTGTAAAGCTAAACTAATCATACGATAGATGTAAGAAGCACCTGGCGAATATCGAATCCGATGCAAATATTCCTGGAAACTTATCCGCAGGCTTCATCCCAACATTATCCACATCAACATTAAAAAGATCGTTCGGACAAAGAAGGCGCATTCCTTATTACAACACATACCTGAGCAAGAAAGCCTCCCAAAGCCGGTCCAATGATGAGTCCAGTGCCCCATGCTGTACTAACCTGTGCAATTTTCATGTTCTTAGTTCGTAATCCAATCGCCTGCGATGTATTACAAAGCCTTACAAGACATACAATAGCTTCTTACCGCAGATATTCCTAATGCATGGTACTCATCCCCGACCAGTTCGCACGCATACGCCTGGTCATGTAGCAAAGCTAAACAATTGTCATACATTTGGTATGTATAGCTAAAATGCTGTCCTTTAAGGACATATACCTTCGTAGTTCCGAATACACCGGTTAAAGTTCCGAGGAGAAACCTAGTCGCGAGAGCCATCCAAAAGTTTACGCTAAGTCCGAACAGAGTATTGAACACTACGCTGTAAGGAACGACCAAAAAACAGAAACATTGATAGATAACAAGCGTGTAAGAAGAAGAAGAAAAACAAAAACAAGATTCAATCACTAACACTGCGGCGCAGCCTATGATTATTACAATCCTCCGGCCATATCGATCTGCAATAGTTCCCCAAACTACGGAAGTCAAAGCTCTTCCAAGCATGTAAGAAGAACCTTCACAAATCGAAGTTAAGACATTAGCCGCATAAACTAGTCGACGAGAATAAGAAAATTCGTAGCTGTTGCGAGGATCAACCTACAAAACCGGCGTAATAACTAATGTCTTCTTCTCTTTCAGCAATGCCGAAATCCCTTACCTGCAGCCAGAAATGGATAGATCACGTTTCGATTTCATCAATTTCATTGCAAGAAGTTAACATCGTTCGTTGTTCTTAACACAGCCTCTGTTTATACTTCATGATTCACAGCATTCTACAATAAAATAGTTGCGACTACTTACCATGAAATAAACGAATGGGAAGAGAGAGGTTATCGTCAGAGCTGTAATGAACAAGAATACAACAACAGAGTGAGACAGTATTCTAACCACGAATCATGAACCAATCGAACCAGGTTGTGTGGACAAAACGAAAAAACTAGAAAATAATAGAAATCATTACAAAGAGACCGATCTTTTTACATCCTAAGATTTTCCCCTTCGAGATTTCTCCAAAAAGCCCTATCGAAATCGAACAGACAGACATAATTACCCCTAAAAATTTCCCTGCGCGTCTGAAACGAAAAACCAGGCAGGCTGAAACCCTAAAAATCTTACATTCTAGCTTCGACTGGTAAGAAATGGTGAAAATGAAATGAATGAATAAACGTACCAGTGGAAAGGATAATAATCCATATTAGGAGAACTTCCTTGATCGGCAATCCTCTCCGGATGTCTGTACGCTTATCGACTTTACATCCTGGGCAACCTTCCACGTACTTATCTTTCTGCAGCAGTGTCTCCTCCTCCTCCTCGTAGTCATGGCTGCAGCCGCCTTCCGCCATTTTTTCTGATGTTTTTGGAGCCTTCGTTCTTGCAACAATTGATTGATGTTGGTACAGCACCCGCCACCTGCCTCCCTAGCTTCATATAAACACGACGCAGAAAGGTGATTGACAGTTTATACCATGGTTTACTTTATAATTATATTTAAGGTAATATATGCTGATAACTCGACCATTGTTTCGAATCCCGCTTAAAATTTATATGCTTTAAAAAAATTTGCAAGACAATTTTCTATATTTTCAAAAAATATTGTATAAAACTCCAACCTATGAAACCAACCTTCGATGTTGTGTGATGGGAAAAACGTTTTCTATCTATATTTTTTTTATATAGCGGATACATGAATGTTTTTTAAATAAAATGGAGATTTACATCGAGTTTTGAAACCACGTATGATTTTATGCAACTTTTTTTAAAATACAAAGGGCTCCAAACAATTTTTAAAGTAAATGAGATATTTTTAAGCAGAATTTCGAAATTATAAGAGAGTTATGGACAATTTTGACTTATTTGTAACAATATTAAATTTTTTAATATAAATATAAATTTAAATTATTTATAATAAATTATTGGTGTAATTATTTAATATATAAATTAATTTTTTTTATATATTTAATTGGATTTTTTCTAACAAAATATTATTATTCACCAATTTTTTTCTAAAAACAACAAATTAAACTCTCAATTTTTTTATATTAATTTAAAATTAATATCAAATTCAAAATGTAGGTTGTACTTTTACAATTTCATAAAAATATATTATTATTTCGTATGAAATCTTAAATCAAAATCTCTTCGTGTTCGATAAAAGAGTTTGAAATAAAAAATCAAATTAACACTTCATTTCAAATCAATTTCAAACCACAACTAAATCAATATATATTTAATATCAAATCAAAAAATAATTATGTTACTCCCTAATTCATTTGTTAATCTCAAATATCTTTGGACCTTCAGAGATGATTGATAATCCAATTTGAATGACTGGATCGGCCAACCCAAATAGCCCCAATTCGGCCGAAGATGGCGTACGGATGAAAACCTTGTCAAATTCCAACTTGGGTGATGAAGAAATGTGTTAAATTTTTTTCTAAAAATGGAAAGTGGAGCGTGGAATGCACGTAAAGAAACTATGCACTACAAAAAAATATCAATTTTGTAACAAAATTTTTTTGTTGTTAAATCCACTTTTTCCGTTACTAAAGATATTAGAGACGGAATTTGAGATGGAATTACGTTAGCTACGTGAACTTTAGTAACGGAATTCCGTTACAAATATACTATTTTTTTGTAGTGATGACTATTTAAGCCAAAATCTTAGGAAGCTCCAAATTCTTTATTGCATGTTGATTTTGTTCGGAACAGTTGTGTATTAACTTCAATCGCAAGACCTAGCCCAAATACTTTCTTAGGTAGGCTAGAGAACTTAATTTATGTCGATTTCCACAGGCCCAATTCATCCGGCTGTCATCGACGAAATTTTCAGCGATAACAGATTGACACACCCAGTGGGACAACGACGAGTCTCCCTACATTTATACAACTCCATAATCGAAAGCTTGATTCACCGCCAATGAAGTTGAAGGATGAGGAAGCCGTCGGCAAGATTTCAACGCAAAAGAATACCCGAGAAGCTGCGCATGATGAGTCGTAGGCAGCCATAGCGTGGAATGAGCAGTTCGCACTTGAGTTATCTCATTATATTGCAAACTAATTAAGCCAATGATCCGTAATAAACTCGCATGGGTAAAGGAATAAGAGATCCACGAACGAGAAACTCCCACGACCAACGCCGAACTTGCCGAAACGACCCTCTGTTGAGGGTGGAACTGGGGGCCAGCATCGGATCCCATTTGGCAATGTGACCGTATTGACTCGAAGAACCAACAGCAAATGTGCCTCGGATGAGTTCGTGCTTGAAGCAACGACGTCCTCCGGGCAGGCTATTACAGAGCAGCCGTCATTCCAGAGTCTTCTGGAAAGCATCAGAGGTATGCCAGTAACCTCTCAATGGTACTCTAACCCCTTAATTGGTGGAATAGGTACTCATACATCGATTTTGGATCACAATAATCAATGAGGGACTGTCGACGCTTGGGGAGCATGGCCAAATATGGCCCCGACACCTCCAACCGTTCCTCTGGCTTAACAGGTGTTTTTCGGTGAAAATACTATAAGGGAGTTATTGACAATTTTTTACTAATTTTATAATATTTTTATTTTTATTTTTATAATTTTTATACTGTATTATATAAAATTTTATTCTCTCCACAATTATATGTATATTTATATAATTTTATTTTTTTTAATTTTGAAAATAAATAATATAAATGTAAATATATGTATTTTTTGTTGAATTGAAAAACGGAGAATGTGATATCAAAACGTCAGTGAAAAAAAAATTTCTAGAGCTTTTAGTTTATTAAACAATTTTTAGTTGTTTAATCCGTCAAATAATTAATTTAAATATTTGATAAATTAATTTTTTGAAAGAGTTTTTTGAACAAAAAAAAAAAAAAGAGTTATTTTGGACTCAAAAAGCTCATTTCCAAAAAGTTAATCTATCGAGCGTTTTAAAAGAATTTTTTCACTTTAATTTTATTTAATATTTATTTGTCCTTAAAAATTATTTATTTATTTTTTACATAAAAATATTTTTTTATTGCCATATTTATTAATTATATTATTTACAAAATTATAATTTTATTTTATAAATTTAAATTAATTACTATTATAATTATTACATATAGATTATTTTATTTATAATATATATAAATTTATTAGGATTAAATCAAATAGAATATACAAATAATAATAATATTATATATTATATAAATTTTATATTAAAAATAAATAAAAATAAGAATAAATTAATAAATTAGTCAATAATTAATATAATTAAAAAATTATATACAAAAGATTTATTAATTTATATTTTATATAATTTTTAATAAAAAATTATTATTATTTTTCAATAAAAATATTTTTTTCAAATCTAAAAAAAATATATATTTTATAATACTTTTATAATGTTTAATAACTAACCACAAAAGTTTTAAATCAAAAAAGAACAAAATTGAATATTTTTAAAAAATAACATATAAATATTTTTAATTATCATGTATAAATATATAATATTGAATATTTATTTTACCAAATATTTTAATACAAATTTCTAATATAATTATATAATCAAATGCTAAAAATTAATTGAACCAGGTAATAATTAAAAGTTATCTGTTAATTACTTAACACAGTGGTAATTACCCAACACACTCAATAAATCTGATGTGAAAGTGTAAAAATAGTTTAGATGCATATCTTTTGTCAATTATCAATTACTCCCTCCGTCCCAATATCATGTTCACGCTGTCGTTTCTGTCCGTCCCACATACTATGTCACTTTCTTTTTTTGGAAAATAATTACACACTTTAATCTTATTTTAAATTTTTTAATTTTATTTTTTTTTAATTTTAATTAAACTTATTAGTTATTTTAATCTTAATTTATAATTATTTATATTATAGGATAATTATTTCCACTAATATATTTTTAATTATCTATTAATTACAATCATCTTAAAATACTGTGTGTAGCAGACACGGTGTCTGGGACGGAGACAACATTATTAATTTCTCTCATTCAATTGTGTCAGAGTTTGGTGTTTGCTAATTAATTTTGAAGGGACCAGTCGATGATATGTATTCATTATCGCATTTTAATATTTTAATTATTATATATATATATATTTATATATCTATATAGATTTTTTAAAAGTATGTTTGGTTCGAAAATTAGAATTTCAATTTAAAATTTTTTATTGGAGAGAATTAATGGGTTTCTGGGTGTTATGTGAAAATATTAAAGAAAGATTTTGTAAATTGATCGAACAAAAAATATCATAAATAACTTGTAATGGATTAGAAATTAAATTACACAGATTCATAAATAATTTTTATAAAAAAAAAAATAATAACAATTGTGGATGAATATGGCTGCCCTGCATCTCCAAAAATTGTGTAACATTTGCTGTCAATTCCGCAACCAGATCTGGACATCTTCAAGCCCCTCTTTTAGCCAGAACATCTGCGAAGCTATTTTTTTCTCTAAAAATATGAGATATAATAGTTTGATTACAATTATTGATAAAGCTAAAGATGTCCTGAATGACCCTATCAAACCTCTACGGATACTATAATATTTTCAAGATCCATGATACCACAATGGAAGAATCACATTCAATAATAAGTCTCGGAACCGGGAACCCCACCGTCCCACGGATTTCCTCGAGCACCTAACGAACAGCCTCCAACTCTGCTTCTGCTGCCTTCGATACTCCGATAAATTTAGAAAGCAGGAAAATAATGATACCTGAATCATATCGTATTACCAACCCGATGCCCGCATTTCCTGGGCAGCCTAGTGCCGATCCGTTGACATTTATTTTCCACCATCCCCGGCAAGGGAAGACCCACCGTTGGTTAACCCTTGCCCCCAATCTTTCGTTAATAAAAGTGATTTCAAGATTTTCCAAGCTACCTTTGAACAATATCGAACTACAATCACTTCCCGGATTCTTGGCATTGAACCATTTCCATGCCCACTCAAATCATCTTCGAAATTAGCCCGTGGCTAGAAAGGGACTTACCTTGAAACACCAGTTCGTCTCTTGAAATCCAAATGCACTAGAGAGCAGTCGCACACAACAGTTCCCAAATAGTGCAACGCGAAATACGCCTTTGAAGGTATTTCCAACAGTGTAGCAACCCCAGAACATCCTTTGGCATCGCCCAAAATTTTTTGAACCACTCCGAAATCCACCGCCTCAAAACGGAAGCAACCTTACAATGGAGAAAAAAGTGGTTTGTTTCTTCCTCCCCCACTCCACACAACGGGCACTTCACCCCTCATTTAATTGTTAATCCCCTTATTACCAATTCCATCCTGATTGAGACTCCTCTGTTAATTACTCTCCACATTAGACAGTTAGCTTTTGGGGGTGCTGCACTGCCCCAGATTACCTCTTCCGTTGAAACTGCCGTCCACATCATACAAAACACGCTCACCTTCTTTCATTGAAATTTTTTCATTTATCGACCCCGTCCACACTACCCTATCTTCAATATCC